ATCTTTTCATGTGACAACACTGAAGAAATGACACTTGGCTACAATGTAAAGCAGTCAGTATACAGCTTGTAGACGAGTGCAAATGTGTTGTCCCCTCAAAATAACACAGCACACAGCCATTAATGTCTAAACTGCTTGCCACAAAAGTGAGTACACCCCTAAGTGACAAAGTCACTTAGGGGTGTACTCAAATTGGGCCCATGTAGCCGTTTTCCCTCCCTGGTGTCATGAGACCTGTTAGTGTCACAAGTCTCAGGTGTGAAGGGGGAGCAGGTGTTACCACTCTCACTCTCTTAGACTGGTCACTGGAAGTTCCACAGGGCACCTCATGGTAATGAACTATCTGAGGATCTGAAAAAATGAATTGTTGCTCTGCATAAAGTTGGCCTAGGGTATAATAAGATTGCCAGAACTCTGAAACTGAGCAGCAACACGGTGGCCAAAACCACACAGTGGTTTAACAGGACAGGTTACACTCAGAACAGGCCTCACCATGGTCGATGAAATAAGTTGAGTGCCTGTATCCAGAGGCTGGCTTTGGGAAATAGACGTATGAGTGCTACCAGCATTGCTACAAAGATAAGTGTGTCATGCCTACAGTCAAGCACGGTGGTGGGAGTGTCACGGTCTGGAGCTGCATGACTGCTGCCGGCACTCAGGAGCTAGAGTTCATTGAGGAAACCATGAATGCCAACATGTACTGTGACATACTGAAGCAGAGCATGATCCCCCTCCCTTCGGAGACTGGGCCACAGGTCAGTATTCCAACATGATAATGACCCCAAACCCCCCTCCAAAACGACCACTGCCTTGTAAAAGAAGCTGATCCAAAACGACCACTGCCTTGCTAAAGAAGCTGAGGGCAAAGACGATGGACTGGCCAAGCATGTCTCCAGACCTAAACCTATTGAGCATCTGTGGGGCATGCTGAAATTGAAGGTCTCTAACATCCACCAGCTCTGTGATGTTGTCATGGAGAAGTGGAAGAGGACTCCCGTGGCAACCTGTGAAGCTCTGGTGAACTCTATGCCCAAGAGGGTTAATTATTTTCCAGCACTGCCTTAATTTAAGGAAGTGCTGGAAAATAATGGTAGCAACACAGAATATTGACACTTTGTGCCCAATTTGGACATTGTCACTTCGGGGTGTACTCACTTTTCTGGCCAGCAGTTTAGACATTAATGGCTGTGTGTTGCATTACTGTATTTTGAGAGGACAGCACATTTACACTGTTACACAAGCTGCATACTCACTGTTTTACTTTGTGGCCAAGTGTCATTTCTTCAGTGTTTTCACATGAAAAGATATACTAAAATATTTATGAAATGTGAGGGGGTGTACTCACTTCTGTGATATACTGTATGTTTCATTGTAGTTTATATTGTGTCTTAGGTTCCATTTCTTCACTGGTCTATGGCTCTTGGTCCAATTGCTTCTTTTTTTATTTCTTTCATCTTAAAAGCTTCCGGCTTAAAAATAACATGGTTTGCTTACCGATGGCAGCTAAATCAACTCACAGAATTACATAACCCTCAGATAGGTTGTACATGACTGGCATTAGATACATTGTTTCCATGGCCAGGACTTTTACAAAGAGCCTATGTCTGTAATTCGAACACTACTTGCAGAAGAAAGTTTATATATATAAACTGGGTAAATTGTGCATTATTCGTGCATCATGTCCATGTTTGATCATGCAAAGCATATTGCTTTTCTGTACTGCCAAATGAGGTGTGCTCCAACCATATTTGCAACTTGGTATGTGTGGAGTTGCGTGTATGAGTATGTGGACACACACATGTGTTTGCGGTGGAGGAGGGAATGGAACTAGTCTGAAGGGGCAGTTATACAGGTACCTTTATCTCTGTGTGTCTGGAAACAGTTGTGCAGCTTGCTTTATAAAGTCTCTGTGATAGAATATGGACCACTCAGCCAGTACATCCTGTACTTATTTTCCCTGTTTACAGCCCCTGCCTTCCTGCCCCAACTATGTGGACTATATAGTCTATGGAGAGTGAACTACAATCACACAAATGAACACAATAATGGATTTGTTAAGCCAGTATTCAATGACACTCTTCTGCTAGTTATGACAACAGAACAAGATACCACCACAAACTAATGTGAAGAGTTTAATGACTATTCCTATTAAACTTGTTATGTGCTTTCAAGTCAGAACTGACATAGTGACCATAACAGAGCTTTCAAGGTAAGTGAGATATTTAAGAAGTGATTTTACCAGTTCCACACACATACCGTGAGTTCCCATGGTCGAGCAGGGATTCAAACTCAGGGCTCCTGAGTCCCAGTCTGTTACTGTAGCCACTGCACCATACTATCTTTGTTATACTGTACTCTGCTTGAGTTTTTTATATACACTCTTAGATGCATTGAGGAGTTTAACCCTGAAACTACTGGAAAAGTGTGAGGGGAAAATAAGCCTATTTTGCCTTCCTTCCTTGTCACCCATTTCTTTAGCGTTCCACAGACAGGAGCTTCTCTCCATGTGGTGTTCCCACATGGCTTAAAATCCCTGCCCTCAAATGACAACCATAACAATTTGAAAACACTCATCCTCCACTATTACTTCATAACCATTTTCCTTTCTAATTAACATGCAACTAAGTGAATGTTAAGCAGGCCCACTGAATCAGTGGGGATTTGGTGAGTCAACCAATATGTATGTTTCTTTGATTAATGGGCTTATTCTAGTCACATAGACAGGATTTCAGCCACTATGAACAGACTGCATGGGTAATTTTTCATTCTACAATACTTAGGTTGGGGCCTTTCACTCGAACGTGATATTTTTAATGTCAGTAGCCAAAATGAGTATCCATCTTATTTTGTAGTGGTGAATTGTTTTGATCAGTAAATAATACCAATACCAACATCCAACAAGTGACATAGGCATGTACCTTATCTATAATATTACTTTGGGAATGCTTCCCTATGCCCATTTTTCTTTGGTACAGACACTCCTTTTTTATCCATTTCTGTGGATCTGAGTACTTTCCCCATTCCTGGCAGCTTCCCTGCCCCGGGGACGTTCTATTTTACCAAGATTCTTGGAAATCCCATTACAACCATGGCACATGTCCTTTTGTATATGAACTCCAATGCTGTGATTTCATCTGACTTTGAAAAGTGTCTTATGAGATGTTTCAGGATAGCATGTAATCCAAAGTTTGTGTAAGTTAAAATCTGCAACCCATTGATTTTTGGTAACTGCAATACAAAAGGAACTTCACAGTTCTGATGTAACTCCAGTGTTCTCCAATATGTAGTGTCTCTTTTATCCTTTCCTTAGATGTCATATTTGTGCACTCTCTGTTCTGGAGCCCAAAAATGTAGAGAGGCACTGAAGCTGCCCAGAGACTTTGTCAATTTCACCTTTTTACTAATGTGTTCCTTTATTAATGTTTACCTTGCCCGGCTTTACTTAAAACTGACAATTTTCCTTCCTTCACCTCTGCAACAAGCAACAATTGAACAAAGTGAACAAAAAGGTGAAAAGTTCTAGCTTTTGCAGATCAGCAGTCAGAAAGGCACAGCAGTTCTTCTAAGGAAAAGAGTGGGTCAATAAATATACTTCAGCAGTGGCCACCAATTATAATTCTAGTTACATGACAGATAACATTGGACATTTAGTTTGGGTGGAGAAGGAAATGTACACACCAAAGGCAAACCCAAAGAGTGTCCCACCCACAAGCTAAAATTATGATGTTAAACGCTACCAAATGGCTTTTCACTTATAGAGATCCTATGAATTAACAGCCTCATAAACAGGTCTGCTCAGCCTTTGCAAACTCAAGGCAGTGGGTTGCTTTATTTAATCAATCCATCTCATATTTGGTCTTCTTTTCCTGCTGCCTTCCATAAGCTGCAAAGCAACGGCTTAAATGTCTGAACAGAATCTGTATTGCACAATTCTACCTGCCTAGGCTGCCATGGCACAGTCAAATGAATATGCATTAAACTGAGTTGGTGTTTGCCACCAGGATGTTACTCCCAAATGCATTTGTTTTGTCCAAATCAAGCTTTTCCCCTTCTGAACCACTGGCAATCCACCGATATTCATACAAAGGAAATGGTCACTACTCAAATTCCCCTTAGCTGCAGTAGTTACATTAGGTAAGGTACATGTAGAGTGAGGGATTATCTTCCAGCAGATAGTCTGCTAACGCCTTCCTCTTGCACCCAGAGGGTACCATTTCAGAGACATATGGAGCAGCTTTAAGAAAACTGAGAAACCTGTTAATATGCACAATGACAACAAGAATATAAATTATTTGTTCCCTTAATTAAACACTCACGAATCTCAGTTACTCAGTTGAATTTGTTAGCATTTAAGGCAAATCCAATTGAACAGGCCACCATGAACTGCATAGAGCTTCCCTACATACGGCTTGACATTCCAACTACCAGCTTTGGCTCTGGAATATTACTTAGGACTGTCATAGGCAAGAGAAGTCTTGTATACAGGAGGGGAAGGGACAAATGTGCAAAGGAAGCCATATAAACCTCTTGCAGCAGTCCCTGCACTGAATTATACAGCCCTTCATTATTATATTTGGCTTGTCTTCCTATTTTTGCATAGTCAATCTTTCAAGAGGCTTGAAACCAAGCAGCTCCTGTGTGTCTGGTGACTCAGTTCATGTTGGAGTTTTTACAACAG